GGTGGTCCGCCACCTACTGGCATGTTTTGGCTACCGCCAAAGCGTGCCCAGGATGGCTCCACAAGCCCTCCCAATGTCATTGGGCATTATGTCCCACAAAAGAACATGGACTACCGCCTTGTAACCTCCCAGGAAGCGCTCTGGAGCCCTTTGGTGCTCCCTTGGAGTAACCTGCATTTCAGCCTCCAGGTGGAGTATGGAAATATTTTTCTATGTGCAAGCGCATCAATTATGGAGATGCCATGGTGGTGTATAAACACAGTGGCTTTGTTTATTTTCGCCCCTTTAAGTGTTTTTCAGTCTTGGCTTCCATTATGAAGCTGATGAAGTGGCAGCCGCCAAGTTGACATTGGTATTTAAAAAAGCCACTCCCAACTGTTCACACTCAGCTCCTGGATGAGGCCACTTTGGTGGTCCAGTTTGCCAGGTTGCCCTTCCACCTTTCCCCAAATGCCTCCACTATGAGCTCAGGGAGGATTTGGCATTTACGGCGCAGACCCTATGTTGCAGTTTGTAGTTCCTAATGAGGCAGATCGTCTGGCAGGTTCTCATGCCTTTGCGATGATCTGCCCTTTATATCATGACACTCATCTTGCAATTCCCCATGCACCATGATCAGATCCGCCCCTGATTACCCATTCTGGGCATGCGTTAAGAACAGCCACAACATTTTCCCCTTGTGCTTCAAACTTGACCATTCAAAGTACAAGTGCCCTGCAGTATCCACATCCACTGATTCTGCTATTCCCCCTCTGGCGCCAGCTCAGCTGCAAATGCGCCAAAATTTTTTTGTAAAACTTGATTCTCCTGCCCCAACCTTGGCAAATTATAGTATGTCTTCCAAAGCTGCAGACAACTAAAACTTTAAAATTTTAAAAATTCAGTCATTTACAGCAACCTGAGCCAATGGCTGAAACGGTCTCAGCTAAGCTACTGTGGTTGATAGTTCATGGCCAATCATGTGCGGCCAACTTGCCAACTCCAGTGGCTGGGCCAGCATTAAGCAAATCAAACCTTTTGAGTGTCTTAATTGGACTGATTTTAGCAACCAGCCGTATAATGTGAAACCAGATATTGAATTGGAGGAATTTCTTTGTTAATTTTCCAAATTCACGCCCCACCATTTTCATCCTAAAAACAGTTAACCATTATATAAAAATATAAATAAATGGTGGTCAAAGACGCTGCTGATCCTGCCAACACCAAATTTTCTAGCAACTCTATGGGGTGATGGAAACCATGGTTGAGGGTATTCCTATTCACAATTATCCCCATGATTTTGAGAAAGATGCAAAGTATAAAATTGAGGAGATTGCTTTTGGTGCGAGCCACACTTGCATTGATGCAGCAAAAACTTCTCTTTTCAACCCCAAATATCCTGAAACTCGCCGGTGCATCAAGTCATTGACTTGTATGTCTGCTCTCATCACTTTTGCTGAGCATCAATTTGCTCAATACGTTGAGGCAATGAACACTGCCATCCTCATTAATGAAGAAGACCCTCAACTATACCTCATAATGCCACAAGTTGCTGATGCTCCCACCCCAATATTGTCTGCCATGATCCACCAGCTAAAGCGGGTGCTTTACAAAAGTTTCATAAAGTTTTTTAACCTTCTGATATAGCTTTCTAGGCTGTTAGCTGAGGTGCACATATTAGGAATTTTATAATTTCTAATAATCCCTTTAATTGGCCCATTTGCAAAAAAAGATGCGTGGAAGATCCCCCTTTTTAGGTTGGGCACCACTAGTGCTAAAAAAGGAGGTAAAATTAAATGGTTGAAATATACAAGAACCTGTATCAAGCTGAGAATGACTACAAATTAAAGGCCAAGCATTTGATTAAAATTAGAACTTTTCTCAAATAGAGACTGCTTAATGGTGAAGGAAGATTTTCATGGACGCTTAAAAGCATTTAAAGCACAACAAGGAAGCTTTTTGAAGGCTAGGACTACCATTATAAAAAACAATGGTCAACCCAAAATTAGGTTACACTTTGGAATATAATTAGGCCTAAATTAAAGAGCGCTTGGCTCATCTAGGAATACTTTACAACTAATTATTATTAACGTGAAAAGACACCTGATTTCAATGCAAGACCAGATCACCTGAGTTACCTACCCTATTGAGTTTATTGATACATAATCAGAATATATGGGACGTGAGACCCCTTGATTTACATGTCTACAATGAAATGGATACTACAGTCTTTCGAATACTTGTTTAAGGACAAGTTTGCACCTAGTGAGATAGTATCGCCTCCTTCCTTTATGTATACAAAGCTTTTCAGGGAAGGTTTAAATAACCACCAAATAATGCGACATGATCTCCCAGGCCAAAGTAAGATGGCACATATAGTGATGGTGTCTCATATGGATAACCTACATACCTGAAACGCGTTCAAAGATGCCCCATAGAAGAATTTAGTAAAAGCAGATCAAAGCTATAAAAAGATCTTTTATAAGGATTGGAAAATAATGATGCAAGTCATTACTGATTTTGCAGAGCTTTTCTAAACTAAAACACTAACGGTGATAGAGTCAAAAAAATGCTTACCCTTGACGATTCCTTTGCTACCATTCTCTCTAGTATAAAAAGCAACACATAATTAGCCTTACAGATTACCTCAATAAAGTGAGGTCTTAAGTAAGTACTCAATATCAAAAAAGTACAATTGGATGTGGCTGACTTGCATAAGACTCAGTATACTAGAAGCGCTACTACTTGGCTAAAAGTTCTGAATGGTAAGATTTCCAAAACTCAAGACCTCTGAAAACAAGAATTTAGTTTTTCTATAAATGGCTAAACATAAGGAAAGCGAATGCCACAAGAAGATTGCATCCTAAAAAGATCAAGATAAAAGATTTGCCAGCTTAGTAACAAGTAACCTACTGCCAAAAAGCATACAATACCTGAAGATAATATGGCCTCACTTATACACTTCTCATTCATCAAAACACTTTTGAAGATGAAACTGAATCTGGTGAAGAAGACATAGGATACTACATGATGAAGCCTGATTTGATTGAGTCTTTGATTGCATATCTGACAGAAATGTTAATGACACTTCAGTCCTGTATAAGACCTATATTAAAGCTTTAGCAAACCCCATCATAGTGTTATAGCTAGTGATTATGATCAAAAATATTACTTTGTTCATCTGCATGATAAAATATGATTAATTTTAGGAAATTCATATGAGTAACTGTCTTTAAACAGATCCAAAATGCTACATTGATTTTTGAAGACCTTTGACTGACGTCAGCTTTAGCGGGACCATTACAAGAGATGAAGGGGGTATGAACAAGGTTTAAATATTGGCAATCCTTGAATCTAGCTCACATATTAGCGTTGTCTACTCCAGGCTGATAAAGAACAATAATATTGCCACTAGAATCTAAGTATGCTCAAGAATATAGGACTGCAGAACCCAAAAGTAAGACTACCCATTTGTGCATACTTGTCCTTGCCCTTTAAAGTTAACAAGTTATTACTTTCTACTTTAGAATTCACATAGAACAATCAACATTACGACGTTCTCATTAAAACAGAGTCTTTTTAAGGATATGAGAAAGTAATCAACATGCAAGAAGGTTTCTTAACCCTCCTAACTTATAAAGTCCCCTAGTTTTGAATAGCAAAGAACCCAGAAGGAAAAGATACTTTTGTCTTTGTTATTACCCTTCTTCCAAATCTGTTCTTACAGTTTAGGCCATCCCACTAAGAAGTCACTGAAGAAAAGTTGACACTTCATATAGAATCCATTCTAATCTTCTGATTATCTTAAGGTTGGGCCTGGAAAGCAAGAGCTGATGGACACAAGGATACCATCCACATCCTATGAAAATTTTCTTAATGCACCTCATCATCATAGATAAAGTCATTAGATTCAGAGCTATGGTCCTACCTGACAAACTGGACCGTAATTACAAACGGACTGTGAATAATCTTTTGTTAACATAACAAAGAACAAAATTTAAGTGTCTAAGCATCAGGAGATCTCTCAAAAGACACTTACTTCTTATCAATTTCTTTACCAGGTTACACAACCTAGGGTCTCAAATGGAATTTGGTCTATCAGTTGATACTCTTTTGCATAATATTCCAGACTGGTAAATATCTGACAGTTTGAGTCTCAAGGATCTGAAAAGTCCCTACTCTCTTAGATACCTGTCAGGACATCTTCTCAAAGCCTGACCATGATTATGGACATATGAGAAACTGGATTAACATTAATATAAATAGCCAACCTAAAGATAAATGATCTTACTGAAAGTCAAATATAAGCAGAGCATTAAATGAAGACTAAATTTTACCAACGCTTAGAAGCTAGTTTATTAACTTTTCTCATTAGTTGCAAACGCTTTTGTCACAAATTCAATTCAAGTCTATATAAGTTTGATAATCTCATCAAGGAGATTAGTATGCACCCAATGTCAGGTAGCAGTTGGGCGAGTAAATTTAAGGGCACAGGTGTAGGCCTCACATCAACCAATCTTCATAAATGCTCTGGCAAATCTGGTGGAATAGATAGAATTAATAGTAAAAAACTGGCGGTTACCATTTCCCCAGAAATTTGGCCTGGCAAGCACGCTGCAACCAGTTCATCAATATGCCGCACTCCCAACCGCTATCTTCAGTGGTACAAGGGGTGGATGTTTTCCTGAACATTCAACAAATGGCGCTCTGGGAGAAGTTTTGTGGATATGTACACACACATTTCCTGAATGCGGTGTACATCGCACCACACTCCATGCCTTGCGGTTAGCTGAATCTTGGTTTCTTTTTATTATTTAACTGAGGCAAGCCGACCAGGGGACAGGCATTACCAAACGAAAGAAAGAAACGACATGAAACCTGAACAGGTCAACTCTGTCGAAGAAAGTTTTTCCACCTCCAGATCAGGACTCAATTTTTCTGGTTACGTCATGGGTAAGGTTTTCGTGTTATTAGACCTACTAACCACCAATAGCTTCCTTCAGCTGGCACCCCAATCGATGTGCGAAGGGCAGGAATCAAACCCACAACCTTCAGGTTGGTAGCCATACGCCCTTACCAACTAGCCTTCCACCCCCTCTGAATCTTGGTTTCTAAATCAAAAGTGTGGCAGACAAAGCTGCAAAAGTGCGAGTAGTAGTGGACCTCCCCTGACAGTCATTGGGTAGTCAAAACAAAGCGCACCTGCTGGACTAAATCAAACCAAATTTTCGTAAGTTTTGACTTCCTACCTACTACAGTCAAGCGCGCCATGCTGGAGCACCACCTGAAGGCTAGGCTCGCCAAATATGGGTTAATCCAATCCTTTGATATTCAGCGATTTATGCTCATTTCAGACCTGTGCACATAGAAAGCAATTGCTGTTATCACCCCATCCGCAGAGATTGCGTAAGATTTGACCCAAATCCCTCATAGCTCTTTTGTAGAAGTCAATGGGCAAGACTCCCGCCCATTCAGGGTCACCGTGGATAGCACGCCTCCTATCTACACTTTCTGTCACGCTTTTTCCCACAAGGCCCATACCTGCCCTAAAATGAGGGCATTACCCAAACCAAAATAATCCCAGAAGCAATGTGTGGTGCAGACGCCCACTATGAACCAGCAGTATACACCAACTCAGCCTTCCCATGGGGAGAGCCAGGGTGCTACATTCAAGTAAAACCTGTGTCCCCACAGGAGCGTAAGAAGGCCAAGTAGGCCCTCAAGGTGGCGGTTAAGGAGGTGGCCAAGACCACGTCTATGATCCCGCCAGCCCAGCTCCAGGAGGACATTGAGACATTTGTGGCAAAAGTGGCTCACAAATCCTTCCACCAATCAGATTGAGCCGCCCAAGCTGATTAGGCCACCCAAGCCGAAGACATGATGGGTGTGTCATTTCACTTGACCAATGCTACCAAGCATCTATTGGAACTGAGTCACTCAACAATATTTCTGCCAAAATTCAACATCCATGTGATGGTCCTTCTGCAAGTGCACACAACGCCAAAAACTTCATCCCATAGTGAAGAAAAAACAGAAGCCAAATGCCAATGCAAACCCCAAAGCTAAAGCTTCTCATACTAAGACATACTCCATAGCACAGAAAACCCGTGCTGCCATACAGAAATGTGCTGAAAAAGAGAAGGCTGAAGGGCTCAGGTGCCTTTCCCCTTGCACCTATTGTGCGATAGGGGAGCCTTTACTTTAGGGACGTTGAACATTGCTGAACTCAAGGCCTCGCCGTCCCAGGCTAGGAAAGTGAGTTTTTAAAAAATAATTTACCCGTGGACATCCAGGCCATTCAGGAAACCCACTGTCTGCGTGGTGCAGAGGAAGCATGGGCAACCATGCTCCTCCCTTCTCTTTCCTTTTGGTCAACGCACTGTGGGGTGCATGTTCAAGTGAACCATAGTTTTAAATTTATTTTGATAACATCATACCTTGACAGCTGCATCATTGTAGTCACCTTTTCATGGGATGACGTAGTACACGCTGTAATAAACATTTAATCCCCAACCTGTGCATAATATCGTTGGAAATTCTTCTCAGCTGTTAATTACCTTCCACTAACCATGACCCATTTGTTGTTGGCGACATGAACTGCTGGACAAATCCAACCACAGACTGATGGTCCTCGTCGCCTACACCCAACAGAGGCACGTTGAACTCTGCGTTCTAAAAGCCACCCTAGGGTTGTTCAATACTCTGCCACATCATGCTCCACTACTCACTAACATGTCTCGCCCCCATGTGCACATCGGCCAGCTAAGGTCCATGACCCACATTGACCTTATTCTCACGCCGTTGAAATTTCAATCCAAGATTTCCCACTTTACCACAATCATAATCAATTTATCTGACCACATAATGGTATCAGTTTTCTTCCATTTGTCCAATCCAGCAGCCCAGGGGCTAAAGTGGTGCAAACTTCGCCCCACCAAGATTGCATCGCCAAGGTTTTCCTTGCGGGTGGAAACCATGACCTCAGCTCCAGAGTTTACCACACCGTATGTGCAGACCCAACTTCCACCTGGTCAACCTTCAAAGCAAACTAAATCCTCCAGGTTTGCCAGCTCTCCCCATGTCACTCGCGGGCTGCCTTGGTGGTCATTTTGCGCACGCTGGCATAAGTGGACCACCTGAGTCTATTATTCCCGCTGCAGGCTACAGCCCAGCTTGGGGTTGCAAGTGGGTGGAAGTGTCCACTCGCCTCAACGCACTGGTAAGACAACACAAGTATCGAGTTTGTGTTCAGTATAAAACAAAGCTATAACAGTGGGATATATGTGTTCTGCTTACTTTTTTCAAAAAATTCTTTTCACCACGCCAGAGCTTGGCCTGCACACAGGTGCGGAGGCAAGACCACTCCATAGCAGATATGCCAGCTAAAGTGGTAATTGAAATACACAACTATTACTCCAAATTATATCGATCTGATCCAGTTCCAGCTGCAGAAGTAGACAATTTTCTTGAAAGTGCACATATCCATACCATTTCCCATTTTCCAGAGTTAATACTTTTGATTACTTGTGACAAACACCGGTCCACCATTTGCAGTGCACCATATAGAAAATGCCTAGGCCCAGATGGCATCACTTATGAGTTCTAGAATAAGCATTTCAAAGATTTTTCCTCCTTGCTGCTTGTCTCTATGAATCAATGCCTTATGGAAATGCGCCTCCTTCCTGGAGGGCAAGAGGCCTTCATGATAATGTTGTAAAAGAAAGAGATAAACTGAACTTGGCCAATTGGCGCCCCATTTCACTTACTAACACAGGCACAAATTTTTTTTTACTAAAATCATGGCAAACCGCCTAGGTGTAGTTGCCACTGCTCTCATTTCCATGAACAATTTGGTTTTGTTCCAAAAAGGTTGATTTGGGACACATACACACTGTATCCAACGTCTGTTGATCCACGGCTTCTGGAGCATTTGTTTTTTAGACCAGCAGCTGGCCTATGATAGAGTCAACTGGGATTACCACAGAGCCTGCCTCCACAAGTACCACCTCCCCTTTTGTTTCATTAATTGGGTGATGTTGCTCACGGAATCTGTTACAATGGCTGTGCATGGCCCTGGCTTCCTCACGGATGTAGTCCGCCCTCAAAGGGCCTACGCCAAGGGGACCCTCTTATCCCCTTTTTGTTTAACATCAGCCTTGACCCACTTCATTGAAATGTGAATGCCCGCCTTACTGGTGTCCATGTGCAAGCCAAGAACCAGTCAAGATGTTGGAGTTTGCTGATGATTGTGTGGTTGGGGTGTCTAACAATCATGATGCACGAGAGCTTGAAGCTACTATACAGGTTTACTCCAGGGTAAGTAATACTGCACTTAACGCCTCCAAAAACGAAATTGTTCTCCTTGGTGGTGTTGGAGATACAACTAAGATGACTGGAATTACTCCAGATTAAGATTAAAATCTCTTTCTATGAGTTTGTAAAATCCATGAAGGGTATTTCCAATTCCCAAATTGACTGAAGAAAGACCCTTTGGAGTTATTGACCTCCTATGATGAGTGAGGCTAAGCTATCTGAAGAAGCTCAGAAATCCGAGACAACCAAGCAATCCAAAATTACCAAGCATTTTGAAGGGGCTAAGCCCTCGCTGAGAAGGTTGATCGCATCTAACAAGAGCTCTATTAGATCTGACCATCACAAGTATTTTAATAATAGTGATAATCAGCAATATCTGTCCTCTGGTAGATTAGATCTTACCTTGGGTGAATCATGGAAATCCTTGCAAAGAACCACAAATTTCTCCTATAAATATATCTGGTTTTAATTAATACAGTGTCTCAATTCTTATCTCACATAGCCTAATTTTGATCTATTTCATTCAGGATTCTTTATTTCTGATTGGAAACAACTGTAGCAATGAAACTAATAACTTCGTTGCAATTGTGTCAAATCTTCGCTAGAGCCACAAAACTATTAATTTTGTACCCTTTGTAGCGCCTGCTTATTGTAATTCTCACGAAATTCCAATACTCATGCTCCCTGCCAGGTCTGCTTATGAGGCTACCTGGTGAAAGCATACTTTCACAATGATGAATACGTCTAGTGAAGAGAGCCCCTCTTCAAAGGAATCTTTGAGTATCATCCAATGTTTACACTATAACAGGCAAGATCTACCTTCCGCCAATATCAAAATCTACAATTTTAAGCTTTAATGGACTAGGCCATAGAGGGTCCTGACCAATATAATTATCATGTTCAAGCTGCATTGATGAAGAAACCGTCAAAAGCTTGATTTGGGGGCTATTTAGCCTGGTGCTCGCCCTAATTGTGACCGAGCAGCTAAAGTTGCTGACAACATGATGAACTTATATAACCGAGCAGTGTTACAGCCTACTGAAGCTGGTTTGGCTAGAACTGAGCAATATCTCCAGCATTATGTACATCCTGCTATTCACCATTTACTCCAGATTTTGGGGTTGCATCATCTCGAAACCCAGTGCCAGTTGACTCTAGCACAACAATTTCACTCTCAACTATCTTCATTTTATGAAATGGCATCCAGCTTTGGAAGGAATAATCGAGAGGCCATTCTCAATAATAGAAGAGAAATTGATGGTATTCATAACCAGTTGGCGAGAATCGATAATGGAGTTGTAGGATACATTGACCAAGAAAAATCTCATCAAGTTAGCAATGCCACTTACTCTATTCACCAACGGATTGCCTCCCTGGAGGATGAGATTAAGAGACAACTGGATCAGCTGTGGGCCAAACATGAGAAGAGCTTGGGGAGCTTAATGGGCTAACCCAACATCTTGTCCAAGTGGTGGGTAATATTAGAGAAGGTGAACCTGTCCCTGTTGATCCTCCTGGACCACCGGGACTACCTAGCTCCCCATTGGTAACCCCAGGGCCTCCTGGTGAGCGTGGTCCCCCTGGCCCAGTGGGTCAACAAGGCCCACCAGGACCAAAAGGTAGAGATGGGTCGCAAGGACGCCGAGGACCTCCTGGTTCCCCTTGCTCCTAGCTTCCAACGTCTGACTTTGAACCTTTGAGGCTCCTAGTATCTCGAGTAAAAGCATTAGAAACACAAATCTGAACCATAGCTCAAGGGTGTTTCTTATCCTTGAAAGGTCTTCT